CCTACAGATGCAAGACAAACTGAAGAAAGGGGGAAAAAGGAGGGACAGGAGGGAATAAATACAAATACTTATGCTGAGAAGAATGTTAAGTCATGGCTCTATTTAACCCTAGGAAGTCAACGTACATTTCTCTGAGGCTTTCCCTAGCAAGAACACTAACTTGCTACAGAGACAGCCTGCATTTTCACTGTAAAAGACAAGGTACAGAGCGCTCCTGGAGGACAACTTTCTTAATGGAGAAAATATTCTCCATGGACAACTTTCTTAATGGAGAAATAGTTAAAAATATTCTGAGGGATTGTAATTGTGAATTCAAGAGGGTAGCTGGGAGAGTCAGTGCCTCTCTTGAGCTTAGCTCTGGCAGTCACATATCCCTGGTGAAATTCAGACTATCCCCTTGCTGAACTGCAGTAAAACACCACCTGTAGTACAAGTGAGGGCCTCCTGCAGGGACAGCACTGCCACAGCACAGTGTCAGGAGAGCAGATACTGCCAGGAGAGCATGGTACTGCTCCACGCTTTTACGGAGGAACTAAGGCTAGTGTCTGTAGCCTACTGAGCACTCACTCACAGTTTTACTGCAGTCATTCCTACATCCAGTTTGTTACAAAGCACAAAGAGTAAAATATCTGAGAAGTACTCAGGTTGCTCTCTCTCCTTACTATTCATTTCATCTTTGTCCTGGACATCTGCCTTAGGCTTCCCCTGCTCGCCGGGCTGTTTTTCTCGTTTGTGTTTACATCGTTTGTTTTTACCATCCTTCTCCCCTTGGCTCTCACTCTTTTCTTCTAGCTTTTCAGGTTCTTCAGATTTCTCTGTTCTGCTTTCATTTTTTCCTCCTTCTGTGGCCTTCTGGTCCACACTGCCTTCTGATTTTGGACTTTTTCCTACACAAACCAAAAATAACCAACATTTAGCCAAACAAAATTTAGTTTCCTCTTATCTCTAGAGCTGCTTGGGGAAAAAGGAGATAGTCTTAACTCTCCAAGAGCACTAATCACAGCACTTTACTCAGCTTAGGAACACAGTACTTGAGGCCATCTAGTTTAAAATCTGATTCTCAGTAGTCAGGAAGAGATATTTAGGAAAGAGGACTAACAATCTTGCAATTATAGGCCCAGAGTAGAAGCTCCTTACTAATATTAGGCACACTTTTTATATGTTATATTCTGCCCATGCAGGTCCAGACTGTTTTTCACCACACTGACAGCAAGGCCATAGAAATATTTCCCAGCCTGATAAGGAGAGAGAGGAAAAAAACCAAATGAAAGTTAAGTGAAAAGCAAACTGCTACTCAGATTAAGAGACTAGCTCCAGACCAGAGTGAATGAGTCAGTGCCAACTTTTGCACAAGAATTTCTAGCTGGTCAGCTTGGTCTTCGATTTTGCTGCCAAGAAGGGAAGTAGTCACACAAAATCACTAATGAAGACAGGCTTGAAGTAGGAAGAACAGTGATGTAACAAGAGAGAGCCACTAAAGGAACAGTTTACATAACAGATGCAGGCTAGTAGCCTGGAATGCAACTAGCACATTGTAATTTATCAGATGGTCTAGGACTTAATTTTTGTTGGGGAATTTCACCATAACTTTCTGCTATAAGAAATTTTAACCTACAAAACTTTATGAAATGCCCTAGTGAACAAATAGCAATAGAACAAGTTTGTCTAGTCCTAAAACTGGCAAAATGGGGGCTACAGAAGTGCACTGATAGAACCACATTTTTTAAAGTACCTGGATAACTAGCCAGCTTAATTTCATTTTCAGCCTTGCATTTATCTGACAGTTTTGTGTCCTCTTTTCTTCCCAACATGTTAACCAGTTACAATAAATGAAGAAAATGCTTTGTGTTACTTGAAGGAAAGGCACAAGCTGAGAAAAGTTCTACAGCTGTTCGTGTAAGCTGAGTTATTGAAGAGTCCTAGTCCTTGAAGCAGGTAAGTATCATGTGCCTCTTACAAAGGAATTCATCAGACAGAGATGATCTTTCCAACTGTCCCTGCCTGAGAAAACACAAGGAGATGTTTTGCAGAAGAAACATTGAAATAAGACAGATCAAATTCTTATTAATGAGTTTCAGCATGCTGTGAGGCTAGCTAAGATAATCATAGAATAATTTAAACTGGAAGGGACTTCTGAAGGTCTCCAGTTCAATCCTCAAGAATATGGCCAGCTTAAAATAGGCTGCTTTAAGTTTGCTTTGTCCAATCAAGTTCTGACTATCTCCCAAGGATGTAGATATCACAACCTCTGTGGTCAACCTGTTTCAGTGTTTGACTACCTTCACAGTGAATAACTTCTTCTTCTTCTTCTTTTTTTTTTTAATCAAATCTGTTTTCCAGCTTATATCCTTTGCTTCTCATCCTTTCACTGGGCACTCCTATGAAGTATGGCTCCATCTTCCCCATTAGGTAGGTCATCAGCAATATCATCTCCACTTGGCCTTCTCTTAAGCCTGGGCAGATCCAGCTCTCTCAGCATGTCCTCATACGCTGCATGCTCCAGCTTCCTAATCATCTTGGTGGCTCTTCACTGATTTCCCTTCAGTAAATCAATGTCTTCCTTGCACTGGGGAGGACAACACAGTATTCCAGTTGCAGTCTCACAAATCTGACCAGAAGGGAATAATCGCTTCCCTTGAAGTGTTGGCTACACTCTTGCTAATGCAGCTCAGGATGTAGTTGGCCTTCTTTGCTGCAAGGGCACACTGATGGCTCATATTCAATATGTTGTCTACCATGCCTTTTCTACAAAGCTGCTTGCTTTGCAAAGTTGGTGCCCAGCCTGTACTGTCATGTGGGGTTATTCCATCCTAAATACCGTACTATGCATTTGCTTTTTTCAAACTTCATGAGGTTCCTGTCTATCCATTTCTCCAGCCTGTCAGGTCCCTCTGAATACCTGCCCTACACTCCAGTGTTCCCTCCAATTTGATATCTTTCACAAACTTGCTGTGAGTGGACTCTACCCCATCATCCAGATCGCTAATAAAGGCATTAAACAGTTTTGATCCCAGTATCAGTCCCTGAAGGATGCCACTAACCACTGGCCTCCAATTGGACTTTGCACTACTGATCGCAATCCTTCAGGCCCAGCAGTCCAATCTCTTTTCTGTCCTCCTTATCCTCCACTTATCCAGCCTGTATCTCACCAATTTGTCTATCAGAATACTACAGGAATATAGGCTAAAGGCCTTGCTAAAGACAAGTTAAATAACATCCGCTGCTCTCCTCTTGTCCAGTAAGCCAGTAGTCTCACCACAGAAAAGAGTCAGATTGGTTAGGCACAATTTGTTTTTGGTGAATCTGTGTTGGCTGTTTCCAGTCATCTTGTCCTTCACATGCGTGGGAATGGCTTCCAGAAGGATTTGCCTCACAATCTTGTTATGGACTGAGGTTGGGCTGACCAGCTTGTAGTTCCCCAGATTCTTCTTCCTGCTCTTTTTGAAGATGGGTGTGATATTTGCCTTTTTCCTGTCTTCAGGAACCTCCCCCAGTTACCTGGACTTTCGAAGAGGATAGAGAGTGGTCTTATGGTGACATTGGCCAGCTCCTTCAGCACTCATGGATTTGTGTATGTCCATATAAAACATTCAATTTCTTCCAGCTAAGAGAAGCTTAGTGTTCCTAGCACCACCAGATCTTGTAATTCATCATTCATATCAGCAAAGCTTCAAAACTTTTTTTAGCCCAGAAAAATAAACTGCTGCTCACAGTGAAGTTACATGACACAGCTGGAGGTGATATAAAAGGTTACTTCTGCTGAAAGACAGGGGCCTTGTGGCCTTCCTGCCCATCTTCCCATGCCCACCTGCTCCTACGACTTGCTTTGTGTCAGCTCCGGAGGTCGTCAGAGACTTCTGTGCACTAATTCAACTCTCAAATCTGACAGAAAAATAACTTAGCAAAGTAGTGGATAGTTTTCTGCTTGGTTTGTGAGTTGAATCAGTTCACTGAAGTTTCTGATAAATGCCAAAGCTAGTGGAAGGGTGGGACTGGGACAACAGAGCTAGGATGGGAGCTGGGGAAGGTATTGTAAGATCTCCCCATTTCTCTCAACAGTAAACTATCATATTAGCTCAGCTACCTGATATGATATAAACTCACCTACAGAATAAATTCCAGGCTTGACTTAAGCAAAATGTTTTATCTAACCAATCTAAAAAATTCTAATAACAACTTATAATATAAAAACTTGACAATAAAAGAGAAGCCATTAGTTTTTCTGTTGCTGATCTATGTGAGCAATTGACTTTTGTTGGGGGCGGGGGGGGAGGTTTATAAGCCTTCTCGTGTCCTTTAGTTTGGGTACTAAAAAATTTTGTGCCTCCTTGTATTGGAAATATATTACAGAGCACATAGAACATGTGAGGCATTAAATTCAATCAGAAAATGGAAATTTGTTCCTGCTAAAGTTTAGTGTGATCCTAAGTAACTAGAAAATGTTAAAACCCTCTAAGTAATTCTGTTCTCCAACTTTGAGATGTTCAAAGGAGCTCTGGTGTAGGATCTATGCAAATTCCTTGGAAAGTCAATGAGATGTAGTGGCTGACATCTTATTTGCGTCTTTGGGAGTTTTTCCATTCATCTGTAAACATGCTCCAGGTCCTCCTTTGTCTCTCTTCTCCTTCCTACGCAATCAAATTCTAATCTAGCAGGCAGCAGAAGTGAAGCAGAAGTAAAACAGATGTAGATAACCGACTCCACAATATCTAGAAAAGCCTCTATTATTCTGAACACCATCACAGCAAATCTAAAGGGAAATCTGCTCATTCCCTTAGAATGCACCAGAATGCAAAACCTCTTCAGAGTAAACAATGTTACAGCCTCCTCCTTTCTGATCAAAATATGCGAGCAGTGGATGTAATATCAGCGTGGTTACAGAGGATTAACTCCCTGCTAGTCTAGAAATATCATCCTGAGATGAGACTGCCTTGACAGTGGTCTGTCAGATCTGTCATTTTGATTGGTTTCACTGCTACCTTGTAAATTTAAGACAGGTTCCAAAACACCACTTTCAGAAAGCATCTATTCCAGACATTAATCATCATTCAGTTTAATTTCTATTCAAATAAAATCACCCAAATGTTGTTCTTAATTACTCCAACGTCAACGCACAGAAAATAATTCTGCAAAAGCAGGACTTCTGCACTCACTGAGGTGAGTGCAAGGCTGGTGTTAATTTGGATCTTGCCTACCTTTGTAAAAACCCAAAGGAAACAGAGTTACTAGTCAGAGACACTAGTCCAGCCAGGTAGAAGAGAATCACATTTAGAAATATAGGGGAACCCTTGCAAATATAAGATCGGTATCATATTTCATTTTGACTCATCTCACTCAGATGCTGCACTGGGCAATAAGAACTCCTTAAATGTCTCTAGATTTGTTGGTTAGAGAGCGTGGGCTTTGATGATGCTTGTTAAGCTGTGCTTTAGAGGCTCTCAGAGAGATGGTGACTCATCTCTGATTAACAGCAGGCCACTCCAAGTTCAAAGGCACCTACCAAGATTCACAGTGTATGGCTATCTCTAATCTTTTCAGCAGCTCATACAATGGAAATGCCACGCAATTACTTCTAAGTGAATCAGTGGTTTTGAAGTTGTTCCGAGTATCAAAGTTTTGATAACTCACCATTAGCTGTTACTGTTTTCTCAGCTTTTGGGTGTCCAGAGCCAAGCCAGTAAGATTCTTGCAGAGGGAAATACCAAGGCTGTGGTAGCCCATAGTCCCCTAAAACAAAAATAAGTAGATAAAGAGTACTTCATAACCGCATTCCTCAGTGGGCACAGATTCATCTGGACAAAGCCTGAGCTATAATCATAAACACTTGCAGTTGCATCAGCAGTCATAGTGCAGCATACCAGAAGGTCAAAACATCCACCAAGATCCTGGCAGAACAGACTTCATTTGCAAGTTTTTTTTCCGGACAAGAGTAAAATAAACACAAAATGTGAAACCTGATTGGCCTTAGGTTTTCTCAAGTAAAACGTGGTTTAATTAAACTGCCCGCTACCTGGGGACAATTTGAATGCTTTGCTGGCCATAGCTGCCAAGAAACATCCTGATTGCTTAAGACGGTATCCCAGCCTCACTCAGTGATCTCCTTTTATGTCCCACTTAACACTTCAGAGTCTCCAAGAGTGAAAAAGCACTTACTGCACTGGGTCTGACTGCACTACTGGCAATAAGCAACTAAACAGAAAAAAGATTCTAGCTGATATTTCAACACACAGCTTTTTACAGAAAAAAATGGCAGAGTAATCCTTTTCTTAAACAGAAATAGGGTCTATTGGTCACAGATTAATTCTGTTTTGAAAAGAGAAAGTACAATAACATTATCAGTTCCTTTTGGACTGGATTTAGAGCTAGCGCTTTCTTGGACTGCATTGAATTATAGACCATAGGGATCTGAGCTGCAATGTTTAAAACTGGTATCTTTGTGAATCCAGATGTCCTTGGTCTTGTGTTACTTATTCAAAATAAGCAAAGGGAATTTGTGATGCTAACTGGTGGGTAGCCAGCTTTTCTTTATCAAAAGACACTGTTTATGAAGGTGTCTGTTTACTTCTGACTTACCAAAAATATCCTGTACATTAGGCAATTGTACTCCCATTAATGCAAGCAAACACTCTGTCTGCATCCATAAGCAGTTTGCCTTGCACTTGTTATGGGTTGGATTACATCCCTTTGAAGCTGGTGGCTAAAGCAACTGCTTCTCATCCAGGATGAACGCAAAAAAGCCAAGTGAACTCCATTATGGAGTAGAATGCTTAAATCTCAAAAGGACCAGCCTGCCTAAGAGTGGCTGGATGCAGAGAAAACTTGAGCAGGAGCTGAACCATATGGTTCAAAGAATTATCCAAGGAACTCGTATATAGTAAGCTCAAAGACTACAGGATTGATTTGGTAAGGCTATGTGTGGACGCGCGCGTGAGAGAGAGAGAGAGAGAGAAATGTTATGAGAAACTCAACAGAAACAGAGGAACATAAAGCCAAGGAGACACTCAGAGCAAATATTGGGAGGAACTGAAGCCACTGAATAAAGCTCTGGGAGAGAGTACTTTTGTGTAAAGTGCTGGCTGAAAAAGAGACTTGG